AGCAGAAGACAAATGAAAACCTCCAAACTCCCTTTATGGGGTCAGTAAAACCCTATATCCAAACTTGATGAATACTTTAAAAGAGAATTACAGAGCAATATTCCTCATGAATATAGATGCAAAAATACTGAACACAATGCTAGCAAAGCAAATACGACATATAAAAAGTATAATCCATGGCAATCTCAACTTAGATTTATCCCATGAATACAGGGTTGATTTGACAGAGAAAATATTAATCAAGGTAATTCACAATATTAACAGGAGAAAACAGAAAAAAATATGATCACATCAGTAAATGAAGAAAAGTGACAAAAAATTCTATACCTATTATTTGAAAAATTTTAAAAAGTAGGAGTAGAAAAAATCACTTTGGTAAAGGATATTCGTAAAAACCTACAGCTAGCATCATCCTTTAATAATGAAAGATGAGAGCTTCTTCCTAAAAGACCAAGAACAAGGCAGTAGTGTCCATTCCCACTACGTCTATTAATAAAACGGTGCAATGAGGCAAGAAAACGAAAATGAAAACCATAGAGATTTCTGTGAAACTGCCATTACTCACAGATGAAATGATTATATACATGAAAACTCAGACCTACAAAACCCTCTAGGACTAAGTGAATTGGGGAAAGTCACAGGATACAAGGCCGACATTTTGAAAATGGAAGTATATATATATTTTATATACTAGCAACCATCATTAGAAAATAAGTTTTCAACAGCATGGGACAACCAAATATTTAGGAACACATCCTAGAACAAAATGGCGCATCTACCTACTAACCATACAACACAGGACCTGGGTGCGTAGTAAAAGTGAACTCTGTACTAGCTTTCCACTTCTTATTTAAATACGAAATTGTTCCCAAATAAAGAATGTTAAAGGAGACATTGCCAGGTACTAGTGGACAAGCTTGAAAATATTACATGGTATGGTGGAATCACTGCTAATGCAAAGGGTAGGAAGGCAGGAAGGAGATCGCTTGCTTTCTTTCTTTTTTTAAGAGAGATTTTTGCTGTGGGGTGTGTGCACTTGCTGGAGAGACAGAAAGCCAGAAAGCAAGAAATCACTCCTGAGGGGGGATGGTCATAGTTCAATCCCTTCTCCTCCATTCTCCTTGTGGAATTTTGGGCACGCATGCACACACACCTGGCGTGTTTCAAGCTGCTGGCTCTGGGACTCAAACTGCAGTCGACTATGTGGGACTCCAGTGATGTAAACACTGCGCCATCTGCTGGCCCCACAGGATGGGAAATCCTCTTAATAGATACATGATGAAATGCTTATGGGGATAGGTGTCGCGATGTCTTGCAATTCAATCACAAGTAATTCAGGAAAAAAATATACATGGATATTTTTATACAGATGCTCCTTGTGTGATGGAGTTACGTCGATAAACCCATGGTAAGTTAGGAACATAAGTGAGAAATGTATCATAAATTGAAACTATCAGCTAATGACGAGGTTATGGCTTCTACTGAACGCATAGCTCTTTCACAGCACTGTAAAGTAAAAAACCTTAAGTCAAACCATCCTAAGTTAGGGAGCATCTGTATACATATTTACACATACATTATCTGCACACATACACGCAGGTACAAATAAAGTACCCAGGGACACAGAGTAAGCGTGTGACCGGGAGAAGGAGCACACAAGATCTAGTGCGAATTTAACCACACGTTAACAAGTCGATAACCGGTGCATTGTCGGGCATCTGTGTTATCGTATTACTCTCCCAGCTTGTGAGGATGGGAAAATATTCAGAACAAAAAGCAGAGAAATAGAAATACCATTATTACTTATTGTTTCAATCAAAAAAATTTCCTCAGAAATACAGTGAAAAGCTACCTCAGAAAAAGTTTACCTTGTTTCTTTAAGAAAAAATACACAATTCTTTAATGCTTCATTTCATGCTACAAAAACTTCTCTGCCATATTCTTCAGCCTAACATTTCAAAGACTGAATAAATTTGAACTTTCATAGTGAATTGATGTTTTTAAATTTGCCAGAGGACATGCACACTCACTGAGAGAGACAGAGACAGACAGAGAGCAAGTAAGAGAAAGTGAGAAAGCACCCACTCCCCCAAAATGGGAGATGATCACACCACAACCCCTTCTTCACTCCCCCAAAATGGGAGATGATCACACCACAACCCCTTCTTCTCCATTTTCCCCTCCTTTCGGGATTTTGGGCACACACGCACATACATCTAGTGTATTTTTCAAGCCACTGGGTCTGAGACCAGAACCATATGTGATCCAGCTACCTTAACCACCATGCTAGTCTGTGAACCACATTTCTTTTTAGTTTTTTCACTATAGGGGGCATACTCTCGCCAGAAAGACAGAAAGAGACAGAGAGACAGACAGTGAGAAATCATCTTTTTTTGGTGGTGGTGGGGGGGGGGGGGCCACAATCCCTTCTCCTCCGTTCTCCTCTCAGGATCTTGGGCATGCACACACGCGTGCCCGACCTGAGTTTAAGCCACCAGGTCCGGGACTCAAACGGCGGTCAACTACATGGGAGTCCAGTAACATAGCCATTACGTCAACTGCTGGTCCTATGTGAACCACTTTTTAAATGAATGCTATGCTAAGGCCAAGAACTGAAGTCTAAATATTACTTACTTAGAAAAAGGATGTATTATAAGTAAGCCAGAAGAAGCTAATTGTTACTATTCTTTTTCATTTCTAAAATGGAAACTAGTCTTCCCTTGGCAATCCAGTTACCTATTTAATATACCCTGCTAGTACAAAAAGGAAAGAATATTAGGGCTACACGGTGAAACCTAAAAAGAATCAAACAGAAACAAAGGGCCATTACTGGCCAGGTGACTTTACTGGTAAGTTCTTCCACACATTACAATGTAAGGTGAGGGTCAGGAAGACTGTGATCCCCAAATCTCACAAAGATAATAAAACAATATAGTACAAACTAGTATCATTTATAAACATAAGCTCTTCTAGCAAGAGCCTAAAACATAATAATCCATAAACGAATGAACCTATTCAACTAATACTTTCTACTTTGTCCTAAGCATAAATGATTACAAATGCAAAAATCTGAAACACAAATGCTAGTGCAGCCCTGTCACAGTAGCCCACGGGAGATGCTGCTGCTTGGCAGGCTGAGGCCATAGGGGAGGCTCAGGTTCCAGTACCCACTCATCCTAAAAAGCTGTGAATGGTGGTGTGAACCTATAGTCCAAGCTGCTCAAGGGTCTAACACAAGAGGATTCAAGCTCACAACCAAAGTGTCCAGCACACTGAGGCCCTGTCTGAAAGACCCAGGCATGGTAGTGTGTGCCTCAGATCCTAGCTACTGGGTGGCTGAGGCAGGTGGATTGTGACATGGCAAGACCTTGCCTAAAAAAACATACCACAAACACACACACTAGTAAATAGTTTGAATAATTCATACATAATATTTTGTACATGTAAAGATGCTAAAGTTAATGGAATTTATTACAAGTTTAGTAGGTTACTGAAAACAAGTTAAGTATACAGAAATCTGTTGAATTCTACATACCAACAATAAATAGAAAATAAAATTTTCAATAACATATCATTACAGTATCACAAAAAATGTGAAACATGTGGAATAAATCTTAGACAGAAAAGACCTTTATCAAAAAATCATAACAAAGACATTCAAGAGGACCTAAATAAATGGAGAAAAGACTACAGATTCACTGTAATCACAATCAAAACCCCAGTAGGTGTTCTTTTATGGAACTGACAAGCTAAGATTATATGGAACTCCATAAGACCAATAATTGTGAAAAAAAAAAAATAAAAGCTAAAAAGGAAAATAAGATATAGGGCCTTGCATTACAAGATATTAGTAGTTACCTTATAAAGGTATAGTAAGTAATATAGTGATATCAGAGATAAAGAGACAAGAGAATAAAATATGGAAAAGTAGTATTGTTTAGAGAAAACATATTGTACACTAAGAAAAGCCAAGAAACTCAATGAAAAAAAAAACCACTAGAACAGAAAAGTATACTCTCTTGGTCCCTATGCGGCACCACAGAAAAGTACTTATCACTACTAGAAGGGTCAGGAAAGTTTCTAGAAGAAATGACAGTCGAGCTGAACCTTCGCACGTACGGAGGCTCGAGCTAACGAGTGCCTGGCGCAGGAACTGCGTGTAATGCTAACAGCTGGAGCAGCAATTTAGGAAGGGCAGCCAGCTGCCAGGAGTAGACAAGAGCTAGCAGCTGGGAGGCATGTGTGCCTTGATTAGGGTTTAGACTTTAGTCTGCAGGCAACAGGGAGTCCTGAAGAGTTTTAAGCAGGCAAATGGTATGATTCCATAAGTTCTTTAGAAATAATATATTTTAAAAGGACATTAGGTACAGAACTTAGGAGTGGGGGAGAGGATTACAGAAGACTAGAGATAGGCAGATGGGCTAAAAGCTGTTCTACTGTCCCAGTGGGAGGGGATGGGGACCTGAACTGAGACTGAAACAGTGTGACAAGGCACAGGTGGACAGAGTAGAGAGATGGAAGAAAGAATCAATCAGTGAGCCTTTCTGACTGACAGATGTCAGGATGGAGATGAGTCATGCAGGCCCTGGAGATTTCTCCCACACTGAGGTTGATGGATTCCCCAAGAGCAGATTTTAGGAGAGAACATTAGTTTGGGACATGTTGAATAAGGCATACAGATGAGGATAGTCACTGGTTTTCTATTGTTTTTTCTTTTCTAATGCCAGAGGGTGTGCGCACTCACCAGAGACACAGAAAGAGAAAGAAGAGGGAGAAAGGACACCCCCTGCGGAGTGGGCATGTTGTAAACTCTTCTCCATTTCTCCATCCTGCAGGGATTCTGAGCATGCATACACATGCCCAGCATGCTTTTCAAGCCTCTGGGCCAGGATGACAACCACAGTTGGCCACATGGGATCTATCTCCTTTAACCACTAGGCTACACAGATGGCCCATAGCTACTGCTTTTCTACTCAAGAGACAAATCATTAAAAACATACCTATTTTTGTCAAACGATGTCCTAGCCAAACGTGACTGCAAAATTGCTGTTATCTATTAAAATAGAACCATTGAAAAACTATGAATGTAAGTATTTATAAGTAAAACAGCAACACAAATTAATTCACAAAGATATAAATTGTTAGAAACACTCACCATGGCAGTTTGGTCACCCAGTTTGTCAAGGCAGGATGCTCTGTGAAGCTACAATATCATAAATACATGTGAATTTACTTTTTCTCTCAGATGATATGAAGTACTTTGTTAGAAGCAATCTAAAACTGCAGTCATTCCCTGTTATTCAATATTACTTCTGATATGCCCTATGGCTTATTCCTAACATATTGTTTTTAAATTTAACATATTCAAGCAAATCTGCTACATATTTAGAAAAAGAGATTATGGCCTGGATAAAGTATATAAATACATTTCAAATACATGTCAAATGATCTATCTATCTATTTTAATTTACTATAGGGAATGTGAGCTTGCAGAGAGTGGAGAGAGCGAGAGAAAGTGAGATAGCACCCCTCAGTTGGGGATGGCCACACCATAATCCCTTCTCTTCCATTCTCCTATTGAGATTTGGGCATGCACACACACATACATGGCATGTTTCTCAAATTACTGAATCTGAGACTAGAACCATGTAATCGGCCATGTGGGATCCAGCTGTCCCAACCACCAGGCTACTGTCAGAGGGTATGTGCACTCACCAGAGAGAGACAGAGAGAGGAGTGGGATTGGAGGAAGAAAGCTCCATCCCATGGGGCATGGTTACACTGCAGTCTCTTCTCCATTTATTCATTCTATTGGAATTTTGGATAGGCACACAAACATGCCCAGCATGTTTTCCAAGCCCCTGGGGCCAGGATTGGAACCGTAGCTGTCCGTATAGGATCTAGCTCCCCTGGCTATGGGGCCAGCCAAATATAAAAGTTAAAAGTTGAGTCCGTCTGTCTGTTTTGAGTTCTCGCTCAGCCTGAGTATGTCACTAGCTTACCTGAAGCAATGTCTCCACAACGTCTTCCACCTTTTCTGAAACATCCAGTTCAAAGACATACTCCATTTTGCCCTAATAAAAAGGGGAAGATATCAAAATGAGAGAAGAGAGCAGCATGCTGAGCCCCTTCACTTTAAGAACATCTGTGCGGCTC